GGCAGATTTTCAGCGATCCAGGGTTTTTTTCCACGTCTCTGTCATGCATTTCAGTTAAACAAGTGTTGAAAAATCAGGTCTTTGGAATTTTTTATTAAGTCCCTCAGTAGCATTAGATGGAGTTGGAGATAAAAGTCTCTATCAGATTTCATAGAATACTAGAACTAGAAGGTACCTTAAGAGGTGATGGAGTCCAGACCCCTGCATCCTGGCAGGACCAAGCACTGTCATCTCTGACAGATGTCTATCTAACCTGCTCTAAAATATCTCCAGTGATGGAGATTGCACAACCTCCCTAGGCAGTTTATTCCAGTGTTTAACTACCCTGACAGTTAGGAAGTTTTTCCTAATGTACCATCTAAAACTCCTGCTGCAATTTAAGCCCATTGCTTCTTGTCCCATCCTCAGAGGCCAAGGAGAACAAATTTTCTCTCTCCTCCTTGTGACACCCTTTTAGGTACTTGAAAACTGCTATCATGTCCCCTCTCAGTCTCCTCTTTTCTAAACTAAACCAACCCAATTATTTTCAGTCTTCCCTCATAGCTTATGTTTTCTAGATCTTTAAGCATTTTTCTTGCTCTTCTCTGGACCCTCTCCAATTTCTCCACACCTTTCTTGAAATGAGGTTCCCAGAACTGGACACAATACTCCAACTGAGGCCTAATCCGCGCAGAGTAGAGCAGAAGAATGACTCATCTTGTCTTGCTCACAGCACTCCTGTTAATGCAGCCCAGAATCATGTTTGCTTTTTTTTTGCAGCTGTGTCACACTGTTGACTAATAGTTAGATTGTGGTCCACTATGACCCCTAGATCTCTTTCTGCCATTCTCCTTCCTAGACAGTCACTTCCCATTCTGTATGTGTGAAACTGATTGTTCCTCCCTAAGTGGAGTACTTTGCATTTGTCCTTATTGAACTTCATTATGAATTATGACCCTATCCTCCAAAGGAATAGCGATCCCTCCCGACTTGGTATCATCCTCAAACTTTATAAGCATACTCTCTATGCCATTTTCTAAGTCATTGTTAAGGATATTGAACAGAACCAATCCCCGAACTGATCCCTGCAGATCTCCACTTGTTATGCCCTTCCAGCATGAATGTGAACTACTCCCTGAGAATGGTTCTTCAATCTTTGTTCTTGGGTTGTCAGAAATCTCCCAGTTTTCCTGTGACCAAGACTTGACTCTCAAATGTAAAACAAAAAGAGGAAAATTTTTGCCTATGAGGATAAACCTGGCACCCCTTTCTTGCTCCATGATAACTTCGTTTGAGTTGGGTTTTTTCTCCCTTCTATGCTTCAGAGCCGACTAACCTTTTCCTGAACACAATCCATCAAATAGAGGATTTAATCTAGGCAAAGATGCATGAGATCCCCGGGCTGGATCACAAAGGTGAAACAGAAAACAAAACATATTTTAACATGCAGGGCAATTAACCTTTGGGCTAAGAAATTTACCCA